CGCAGCTCCCGGCCGCGCGCGGGCGCCGGCTCATGCCCCCTCCCCCGCCGGCGGGCCGGGCGGAGGCGCAGGGCGCGGGCGGGGCGCTCGGGGCTCGGCCAGTCGGACCCGGCACTGCGCCCCCGCCCCGCGCTGCCGCGCCTCTAGCCCGGCCAGCCCCGCGTCACCGCCCCGCCCCGCCCGCGCCGCCCCGCCCCGCCCTGCTCCGCTGCGCTCCAGGCTGCGGCCCCCCACCCGCTAAGCGGAGCCGGAGGGAGGAACCCAGAAGGGGGGGAGGAGGGAAGGGAGGAGAGGCCGGCGTGAGAGGGGCCGGCCGACCGAGACCGAAAGAGAACCAGCGGAGCGCACGCCCAGGAAGGACCAACGTAGAACTCGGGAAAGGAGACCCTCCCCTAGAGATGAGACACCGTGGGATCGAGAGACAGAGAGGTGAGAAAAGGTCCAGGCGGTGACAGTGGGGACCAGGAAAGATAAGAGAGTGACGGTGCCTGGGATGCCTTGGAGACGTGTGCAGAGAGACTGACGGGAGAGCGAGAGTCCGCGGCCCGGACGTGCCAGAGGGCACAGAGGCAGGCCGGACAGAGGGAGGGAACAGTAAAGAGAAGAGACAGGTAGGAAGGCCCGCGGCCTAGGCAGGGGTTAGGGAGGAGAATGGGCAAAGGCCCCCGCATCTCAACGGGAAAAGAGTGACGGTGTGCCTCCCGCCAGGGTGCAGGGCCGAAGGCCGCGTAGGGGTACTGCAGTGGGCAGGGTGCAACTCAAAGAGTGGCAGTCGCACCTGTGCACCACCACCAGGGCCCACCTCCGCCTCAGTTTACCATGATCAGCCTCCTTTCCCTCCGACTTGCCCTGAGAGGAAAACGTTCTGCAGGCGGATTTGATTGAAATGCAAACCCAAGTGATACGTGGACACATTCTCCTTGGCAACACGGGGACGCTGTGGGCTGGGTTATGTCCTCCTAGTTAGAGGATTGATGGAGAGGAAGAGAAAGGATGCAACTTCCCCATTTCCCACCTTTGGAGCATCAAAGGAACCAGGTGGAGCTGAGGGCAGGGATCAGGGGGTGCTCTGAGAGTCTGCCTCCCCATCTCTGAGTCTCAAAGGCTCCTGCAGGACTGAGGAAATCGGCAGCACCTCTTTTAGATCAGTCTTGTAAAGAGAGTATAATCCCAAACCTGAGGTGAACAATCCCAAAGTAAACTCTCTACCGAGTTTGGAGTTTCAGTCCTTTGACTCTGACACTGCTGGGTAAACCACTGCCTGTTTCTGGGCTCCAGCTTTCTGTCCCTTCCAGAAGAGATATACTTGACACCAAGGAGTTTGTGAGGACTGAGGGAGGGGGTCCTTACCCAAGACCCACAGGATCTCCTTGTTAGGAGGGCGGGGTGTACCTAGGAGGCAAGAGGAGGAGCTGTTGTCCTCCCCTTCCCACTCGGCAGACTGGGTCCTACCTCCAGCCCCAACCACCACAATCAGTCAGCACCTGGCTCCCAGCTGGTGTCTTAAAGCACTCCTACTTCCCAAGTGAGCTCTACACGGAGCCTAAGTCCTCACCTTTGGGAAATGGGCAGCACGCCCTGCCCCCTCCCTAAGCTGATGCAGTTTCGGCAGTTCAGTGGATTGACCAGCGGCGATCTTGAGGCTCACCCTAGACGGCCCGGAGCCGGTGGCAGCTGGCCCAGACTCTGGGGAGACTAGGAGATGACCAAGACCCCTTGTTCATAGGGACTGGGGTAAAAGACAAAGTCTTACCAGAGGCTCTGAGCCACTGCTCCCCAGTTGTTGGGTGACTTCCTGAATCCTAGGGTCATCAGTTGTTTCCGACTCCCCAGGGTAAGTGGTTCAATGAGGAAAAATGGTTCTTTGGAAGGGGTGAGGTGAGACCTACTAAGAGTAACAGTGGCCCCCACCAAGGAGGCCTCTGAGTGATCAAGCGGCAGGGGCTGTGTTACGGCTTCTCTTGGCCCAGCACCCACCCCACCTCCTCCTGGGCAAGCAGAGGAAAGCCAATTTCTCCTGGGGTCCTCAGAAGCCCGGAGGGGCTCTCCCCAGTGAGTAGGCACAAAGAACCCTTCCCTAGATGGGGAGTCCAACCACCTCATTTTTCCGATGGGCAACTGAGGCCAACAAGAGAAAGGGACCTACCCAGGCACCCCAGTGTGTAGGACTGTCTTTCCATGGCCCTCTGTCTCAGGGTCCTTCCCCTGGCCTCCACCCTCCCCAGTGTCCTTTGCCTCCTCCTCTTCCTCTCTGCTTTCACGCCTTCCAAGGAGCTCAGACCAGGGTATTCTCTAGAGATTTAGGCCCAGACAGCCCCCACCCACCCCTCACCTCGTATTTGGATTCTGAGAGAAGTCACCCAGATTTGAAACGTCTGTGCGCAGCCCAGTTGCAGCCTGGGGTCCTGCATCTGAGTATTCATATTGTTGATCACATGTCACCGAATCTGTTTTACCACCTGTCAGCTTCTCAGGGTAACTCTTTGGTCAGGTTGTTGTTGGTGGGGGTTGAGTGATTTTCAGCGTGGAGGTCTCAACTCTAGATTTCAGGGACTCAGTGGACTATGATGCAGCCTCCTCCCCATTCCACAGGTGTGCCCCCCAGCTGCTTGGACTCTGGCCAGCGCTCTTTCCTGATCCCAGGCCTAGGCCTTCGGTGAAGGCGGTGAAGGCACCTCTGGGAATGAGGCCCTAAGGGTTGTGGGTTTGCCCGCAGGGAAGGGCTGAGAGCCACGACACTCCCTCCCCTCCAGTGCGCAAAGACACTGCCGCCACGGACCTGCCCCTAGTTCACCCCCCGGGGGACAGCCACGTCCTCGGAACTGAAGGCAAATCCTCAGATGAACCCCTTTTAGGCGAAAAACTCAAAACGAATGACTGCGAGGCCTCCGCTGCTCAGGAAGGGGCTCACAGTGAAGGGGACTTCATTCTCCAGCCCAGGCTGCCCGAAGAAGGGGAGTCGCCACCCAGAGGCGCAGCCGCGGTGCCCGACGCCGGGGACCCGCCGGGGCCTCCAGCCGCCGCTGCGAAAATCCCGGAAACCGTCCACTTGCGGTGCTCGCAGTGGAAAAGATGACCTCAGCGCCCGGGGCCAGGCACCCTCCCTCGTAGCCTGGCAGCTAGGGGCTCTGGGCACAGGGGGCCCTCTGCGCCTTGAGGAAAGATGGGGGTTCCAGAGCACAGAACCGTTCCCTCCCCGGTGCTCTGTCCCGGTGACTCCACATTTTCAACTGGCACCGGAGGGGCGAGGCGGAGAAGGGGTCTCCTCACCCTATTAACCGAAACTCTTAAGCACTGGTGTGCAGATTCCAGGCCCCCTTCCCTCCTCCTGCACCCTCCTCCTGTCCCAGCGCCTCCCAGATGGCTTCTGGAACGGCTCCGGAGCCAAGGGGTCACAGAATAAAGTCAGAGAGGCTGAGTACCCAAGGGGGCATCCCTGGGACAGGTCAGCGTCCAGCGTCTGGGGGCTTCTGGGTGGACTCTTCTCCTGCCCTCCCAGGACTGCCGGCCTATTTCTTTGCATTTCTTTCCTACCTGCCCTGGGTTTGTTATCTTACTTGGCCAAACGAAGTTGGGACCAGAGATGTAGGGAAGTTTTCTTTAAAACGGTCACCTCGCCTCTTGGTATAATCCTCCAAATAGCCAACACCCCACCGGTCCAACAACTTCCTCCCAGTTGACCAAGAGGACCTCGATCTTTGAGCGGGCCGCCATAGAGCCCCGCGCGCCAAGGGCACGTTCCTTTTTCCAGGGACGCATCGATAGCGCCCTTGAATGGCGCGGGCTCTTCCCCGTTTTCTTTCTTGAAGCCTGAGGTTCTGACTGCTCCTAACCAGGGGCAAGCTGGCGGGGATGGCAGTGGTGGTGGCACTTGACGTGGGTCGAGGGCCTGTCTCGATGGGGGCCGGGGGCTGTGGTCCGCGCCCTGCCCTTGTCTGGAACCGGGACTGGAGACTTCTGTTCTGCCTTCAAACAGGATTATAAAATTGCTCCGTCCCCAAGCTCGCAAGTCGCTGTCTCCCGGAGACCGCCAAACGTTTTCCTTTGGAGAAACCATTCTCTGTGACCCCTTTTAAATGAAAATTTCGACGTCAAGCGTGGACTTTCGTTTTGAGTCATTTCAAATGTTTGGGAACCCGAGGTCAAATCGTATTTGGGGCGACAGCGCCTTTGGATACGTCCCTCTTTCCGTCTGTAGTTATCCCTCTCGGAGCACTCTATGAATTTGATCCTTTGGAATTGGTTATTTTTTGTTGTTTTATAAGGTTGTTTTGTGGTTTAATGTGTGATTCCCTTTGGAAGTGTGAGTTTTAAAAGATACATAGGTACATAACGACTGCCTTCCGAGACTGAGAAAACTCCAGGACCCGGTTCTTGGTGGCCAGGGTCCTGGGGCAGTCCTTGGTCAGTTCTTTCTCCATTTTACACCCACCCCTGGCCAGCCTGGGCGAGTCCCGCAGCGACCTCGGATCAGAGTCTTGCGAACCCGCGGCGCTCGAGGCCACTTCCAGGACCAGGAAGTGGTGGCCACTGGGGGCCGGGGCTCGCTGGGG